CTTCACTTCATGCACACATCATTATTCCCTGATCCTATAACATTACAGGGATATTGATTAAGAACACTTTCCTTTAAGTAAGTTTACTTCCTTAGGTCTCTCCAGGAGACATCTTCAGTTGGCCATTCAGAACTGGATTTGAATGTGGTAATCTGCCTCAGTGGGATCCTGTGTCTGTGCTGACTTTCAAGACAAACTGAGACAACTCTTCTTAAAATTAGCATTTATAAATATCCTGCCTCCCAGTGCCAAGAAATTTTCACAAAGAAGGGTTACATGCTGTAAGTTTATACTTATGCTTTCCAGCACTAATTTTACCATCTTAAACAGTCTACAAAACATAGTTTATTTTGTATTTTAAAAATACATCATAATTATCTTAATATGAACTAAAAGCATTCTACAGATGCAATATAAACAATTTTTTAGAGTGATTACTTCCAGGAAAATCTAGTTCAATGCTCAGCAAAGAACGAACTGTTAAATACAGATAAAAAACACACAAGCTGATTAAAAAATATTATCTACTGATTCTTTGCCTAGGGCTCAGAAAAAGTGTTTTTCAGTTCAGTATCTTTGAGCTTCAATTGTAGAAAGAGACACTTCAGTAATGTTGAAATATGCAAAGTAAAAATTGTTAAATGCTAAGAAGACAATCAGGGAAAGATACAAAATTAAAATGGAAAGAAATAAAAATAGATTCAGCCTGACAAAGCCTGGAGGTATACATAACTGTAATGGAAAGAACAAGGAAGTGGTATCAGCCTACCTAATAGATAAGATACCAAAAGTATTGTGAAGAAATAAGAACGTTCATTCAGATTATTAAAACCCTCTTCTAGTGATGTCCTTTGAAATCACCTAAAATTCTTTTATCCTTGTCAGCTTGTAAATGAAAAGTCTTCGACTTCCAAGATGCAGAAAGATGGATGCTGAAAGGGAAATATCTGAATCTCTAAAGACAAATGATTAATTCTCCATGTAGACCAGATGCAGGAAGTATGTGAAAAAAATACACCAGAGAAAAAAGCAGTTAAAGAAAATACAAACTTCTCTAAAAATCAAACATTTTTCATTAAAATTCAGGATGCTACAGAACTGCTTCCTCTTTTCTATTAAGATAACATATTACAAGTAAAATATTTGGGACATGTTTATACTGCATCAAAACTTAATACAGTCTTGACCATGACAGCATAATGCAAGTGATTATATCTCATTAAAATTTGTCACTCTTAAAAGTAAACTGAAGAATGACAAACTGAAAGCTAGCTATAGTATCAAAGGTTGATTGCAAGGCATCTGAAGACCTCATTGAAAGATCAGTTGTTTGAAGCATTTATTAATAATATGTAATGCAAGATGACTATCAGCAGGGCCAAATCTGAGACTGTAGAAAGCTACTCTTGTTTAATGGGAGAAAACCAAAAAACTTCAGAGTAACAGCCAGAACTAAGTAAATTAAGCCTGAGCAGCAGAAAAAAAAATCCAATAGAAATCAATCCTTTCAAGCTGAACTATTCATGGGCCTTATGAGAAACTTCACCAACTCTGTGTTCAGGAAAGTGCCTTGTTACAGTTTGTCCTAAGGGAATCCTTGCTTGGGCAAACTTACCAAAAATCCTTGTATCATTGCCTAAAGACAGTCACATTACAAAACTTCAGTAACTAGACATACAAATGAACTCTGAGGCATTCATAATAGCACCTTCCCATGTGGATTCTCTGATGTTGGTGTAGGACAAAGTCACACTCCTGCAAGGATACTAATATAATGACACCCATTTTTGTTTATATTTTTGAGACCCACATTCCTTCAAAGTGATTGAAGTTGGCATTAGGACTCAAAAGTTCCTGAGGAGACCACAAATCCTATATGAAATATGATTACCTAAGACTGTTTCTGTAAGAAACTAAATGGTGCTATTGTGAAAATGAAAACAAAAAATCATGCCATCGTTTTCAGGGAGCATCTGGACAATGCTCACCATGTGGCTTAGTTTTAGGTAGTACTGAAGGGAGCAGGGCTTTTGATTTGATGATCTCTATGGATCCCTACCAACTCAAGATATTTTATGATTTTGTGTACTGCACTCTGCTTGTCTCTTCCTAGCACTCAAAGACTCAGTGATTTGCAAGGTAAAATAATGTAAGCAAGATAAGTGTTTAAAAAACATATTTCCTCTAGAGGTGAATAGACATGAAAGGACATGATAAAAGTACAAATTAATTCTAGGAGGAAATAGTAAGATCAAGATTTTTTTCCCCTCTCTACTAACAGAATGCTAAAGTATATTTTCAAAGGAATTGAATGACTTTATATTGAAACCTAAGGTTCGCTTTCAGAACTCCCTATCATGAGTTGTAACTGTATCTGAAGCTATTGTGATTTAAAAAAAAAAAAAAAAAGGTAGCATTTCAAAGAGAGCAAAACTATGTGCCTTACAAAACAAAACCCCAAAAACCACAAACCAAAAAAAATCCAAAGAAATAGCATATGAAGAGAAATTACTAACGTAAAAAATAAAAACCAGCTTCTAAATGCGAGAAAGACAAATTTTAGCAGAACTATACTGTCAAAAAGCAAAGACTCACTATTTCTACAATGTGTCCATGTGTCAAAATGTCAAGATCCGTCTTGAGGCTTCCCAACAAATATATGCTGTCTTATTACACTTTCCATAGTGGTATTGGGGATTCTTTTAAATTTCTTTATATTTTTAAGACAGGGCAATTTTTTCAAGAAATGTAGTAATAAACTGCACCTTCCACCTGGCATTGCTTCCCAAGAAACAGCAGCATACAAACAGCAGCAGTCACACACAGATTGCACTTTAGTAATCAAAGGGACCCTACCTATCACTGTTACACTCTTCTTTAGTCTCTTCAATTTCCTCCTTAATCATTCTGAATACTCAAGCACAGCACAGCTTTAAAATCAGCCCAGTCCTCTATTTTGACCTGATAATGAATACCTAGAAGCTGCTTTAACCAAGAGATTAGAATCCTTCTGAAAACCTGTATTTCTCAGCACATTTCTCTGACTGCAGAAGACACAATTACAGGTCTCCCCATATCACATCACAAGGGGCTAAGGAAAGCTTGTATGTCTGTCCTTAACCACACCTCAGTAAAGCACAGTCTAAACTAGAAGTACTCCTAAGGAGCAAATCTTCCTCACATAGCTGAAAGAAACCTTGAGATTTTTTTCTGTAAATTTGAAAAAGAATCCTTGCAGGCTGAACAGAAAAACTTAAGTCTTTTTTTCTCTTCTGTGATCTCCAAACTGCTTCTTCCATGACCAACAACCGACCTTGCACCAAAGGCTGGCATCTCCCTGGTACCTGTCCTCTGGTGTCACTGACACTCTCAGCTGGCAGCACTCAGCCGTGGCTAAGGGAGCAGCCATGGTAGGGCAGCCATTTCCTTGGCTTCAGTGCCATGACACATCATAGGCTTATGTATTTCTGTGTACACACATGTGATCTTGTGTTGTATTACAGTACTTCCCTTTTGTTACATGGCTCTGTATTTCATGGTATAAAGACTCCAAAAATGACAGCACTGTAAGTTTTAAAAGAGCTTATTAGATGTCTGGTTGACATATAATTAAAATGCAATCAAAATAAGGAGAATATTTGAACTTAAACTATTTAAGCTCTTGCAAATTACTATCTAAATGGAAGTTCATTTTTATTTCTAAGGCATAATCTGTGAAGTACTCTGTACTGAGGACCTGTACTCTCTATGAGATACTGCCAGTAGTTGCAGTAATGAATTGTTTTCAAAAATTCATCCCTAAATCCCCTAGGATTCCATTGCACCTCTACTAAGCATCTAAGTTAATCTTCTGCTTTTCTTGGAAAAAAGGGAACACTCAAGTTTTTTTCTGTTATGACTTGAACATCTAGTGCAAATCAGAACATAGCATGCCATCCAAGGATAACCCACTTAACTAAGAATAGGTCTTTCTCAACCCTGGGACCTTGTGAAGCAGAAGGTTTCTTTCTCCTTGGGGTTCTTAAGAGCTTTTTATCAAGAGGGAGATTTAGATGCAAAATGTTCACATGCTTCAGATCTCTCATGTGGAAGACTGCATCAAGGAGAAGTGAGTTTGGACTGAAAAAATGTGGATGCTATTTATGTTGAGGACCTAAACAAATATTTTCTTCAGGCTGCTGCATGGAGTCTGAAGACAAAATAGCTAGACAGTAGAGGAGTATAATTTATGTGGAAGAGTTACTTCTCCGCAATGAAGGTTTTAAGGACAGCTGGCAAATAAGATAGCTTTGATGAAGTTCTGCTTTGTTCAGGGGAAGATGTTTTCAACTTCTTGTTAAATGTAATTTGAAACAAGATGTGTGACTTTTTCTGGCACAGCAATTCCTCTCATTTCCCATCCAATGGTTCTTGTCAAATTAGGCTGCTTGGAGTTATAGACAAGGAATATTTCTCTCATTTTCTCTTCCTTGGGGAATCTAGCTCAATGTAAGTGCAACAACGAAAACACAGGCATCAAATTATTATGTGGATACTATTTTGCCTACAATAACCACTCTGAAAAGCTACCATCATTTCTGTTTTAATGAGTGCTCTCTGTGAAGGATGAATTTTACTCTCTAGCCTCCAATTATCACAGAAAGTTTTATGCCATACTGCCAATATTCATATTTTCCATTGTTCTGATTTTTTTTGGATGAAGGATAAAAATGTAAATATTGAAAATTTTTCTCTGTTTTATACAAACAAAACAAATGAAGAACACTGATGGACTGCATGAAAGGGGAAGAAAAGTATATTTAAGAATAGCAAATACACTTCTTTCTTAAATCATTAAAAGAGATTGTTTTTTCTCTAGAATATTAAAAAAAGATTGAAGCTTTAGAAATTCATGATATGTGGGACTAATCAGTCTATTACAGATTTCTAACATGTGTAACTCATTAATCACTTTTCAGAAACAAATGTAAATTAAATTGAAATAACAGGGTTGTACTTACAGTAGCTAATTCATCAAATTTTCCAAAAAGTTCATTCAGCAGCTTCACCAGTTCTTGGGCAGTACACTGTGATGCCAAACTAGTGAATCCCACAATGTCTGCAAATAAAATACTGTAAAGAAGTAAAGAGACACAGATAAATCAGTAGAGATCTTCACATTCTTGTTACTCTCTTTCACAGCACAAATGTAACCTAAAGCACAAACTCCTGAAATATTATCAACGAAGTGCTAGTTGTAAAAAAAAAAAAAAAAAAAGGAAAATACTCAGAAAAATAAGCATTATTCTGGTGCTGTCAACTGATTTAGAGAACTCTCAGACACTTGCAATTGCTACATACCTACCTGGCAGATGAGGCAAAGCACCTCATTCATAGAGTGCCCAATGAATGCTCTAGAAGCATGGTGAACAATTTATTCTCTTTGCAGGTAGGATCTTCTCAGCTAAATTTGTTTCAGAGTCAGTTTTGCACTGCTAGAGTTCCACAGCCAAACAGATAAACCTTGCTTGAGGTTTACTATGTACTGAAAGACGGGGTTAATAACTTCAGTGCAGTTGTTCTGTGATGTGGCCTTGTGGTCTGGGATGATGCAGTAGCTTCCCATGTGGAGTTAAAATCTACAATGTAAGTCAGTATTCTCTGCACTGTGCTGCCTGGCTCAGGTAAGTGTCCAGCTTTAATCAGCATTAGCATGGTTTAATGTCCAACAGTTTAATCTGCTTTAACAATCCTTGCTAGTCAGTGTTGATCAAGGGAGATATTTGAAATAAGTGCAGGTACCATTGTGATTGAGAGAATAAAAATTCTTGTGTAAATCACAAAACTCAAGAGAGTATGGTGCTGTGATCCTTTCAAATACTTTAGATTCCTTCCATTGGTAGAAGCACAGGATCAGCTGCAGGAACACACTGCATTTATCTCCAACACCCAGACTAGAAATGTCAAATATTTTATGAAAGCACTAATAAACCATCCCATGGTATATAGCCTAGGTATAATCGATGTAGTGTAAAACTTAGTTTGCTAACTGTACATTGAATTAAACATTATGTACTCCCATTCACCTCAGCAAAGCTTCACTCTTAAGATAAAAACATAATACCAGAAAAGCAGGCCTAAAAAGTCTACTTACTAAAAGGCAAATACAACTCCTGACTCAAACCCTACTTCTCTAGTTTCATTTAACCCAGTTGTTTAAATCTCTTGTCCACCCTGGCAGGTAAGTAGCCTATCCCAGTTCAAAACCAACTCATCCAAATTTCAATGACTTTGGTCTTCCAGCAAAGCCTTTACGTAGTCATTTTAATCCTTGGGGCAGTGTCTCCACTCAGTACTCCCTGGAGAATGGCTTATGAGAACATTGCTCAAGATGGCCCCGGTTCAAGAAAAAAAATAGTTATTCCATTCCCATGATGTTTAAACATAACAAAAAGGCTTCTTACAACAAAATAGTCAGCATTTATGTAATTGTACTGATTCACGTCTCTGCTATCATAAAAGTGAACCAAGTGATGGGTAAAGTAAAATGCATTAACAGAGTTCAATAACACCTGCATATTTGCCCTAAAAGATCTACTAATTGTCTTAATTCTTTATTGACATTCTTGTTGTTTGATGGCCCTAGGTCTTTCTGGAAATTCAGAGTTATCTAAATTCCATTAAAATTTTCAAAAGCACTTAAATGTGCATCAATGTCTTTCATACATTTTGCTTTATGGCTGTTTTTATTTACGGCTTAAATTCACATCAGAACTTATAAAGTTTAAAAAGTCACAGAGGAAAAACAAGTAAAATTGTTGCTATCCAGTATGTCATGTAGTTTTCTGGTTTTAATATGGAGGGGAGTGTGGATGTTACTTTATCATAATTGTGTCTGATAGCTGCTCTGCCATTTTACAACTAGTCTATTCTACACATTTTACATTTTGATTGGTTTTACTTTTCTATTTCCATTTTAAATATGGCGGTTCATATTTTTTCACTGTTTAATCACACATAGAGTAACAGTAATATTTCCAGCAGCACCAACAACGTCCTTCTGCCAAAAAAAAAAAAAAAAAAAGAAAAAAACAAACCATGGCATTGGGAGGGGGTTAGGCTTTAAGGCCATAACAATGTTATCTCATTACCAAAGTCTTTAGCAATAAGGAACATCTATACACATACAAACCAGAGATGTTCTGTGTTTGTGAAAACTATGTCTTAACAGGTAACAGAGCAACCATTGAATCACTAACATGTACACTTATATTAAAACCTCTCTATTAGTGAAACACAGAGAATAGGAAACAGGTTCCTACATAATCATTCAGTTAAGAAGAAAGTTGTTTTACATATGGGTACCTTAGTAGGTCATTATGAGAACCTTGCTAATCCTTTAAACATTTAAAGAATACTCAGTCCTCAGCACTTGATTCAAGACACTGGTAATTGTACAAAAATGTGAAGTCCGTACAAGCACCTACAATAATGAACTGAACATGCCATTGAAAATCTAGGTAAAAATAAGTAATTCTTGTATGTTGAGAGACTGATGTTCTATTATGCTTGTGAACTTTTTAATACTGTAGTTAACTACATGTATACCTTTTAAAGCTTATGGAATAGATTAGGTAGCATGATCATTGTTACACTTTCTTTTTTTTAACAAAATTCCAATCTCTTTTAATACAATATTCTTAAAATATGCAAGGTATAAAAGACTCTCATGTCTTGACATGGCACAGATGGGGAAATGCTATGAGTAGAAGTTCTGCCTTTTATTAATGAAAAATCCCCTCATTTTTACCATGAAATGTTACAATCATAGTAACTGCTGCACCTTGTTTGAAAGCAGGCTGAAATGCCAGTGACTAGACCTAATTTTGCAGCAACAGCAGTAGGAAATAGCCAATGGAGGAGCAGGGGATTTCCCTGCCCAAAGTGCAACTGGCACTGCAAGCCTGCTGCTTCCACTGCCTGTTCTCAGGGGTGGCAGTGCTGAGAAGAGCACACACACACAGAGCTCTACTATTCAAAAACAATTGAATTGAAACTCAATAGCTGATTAATTTTATTTTAGGTGGTGAACTGACCAATATTATCTCTTCTACTTCTTCACCCATCTGTGTCCATCTATAGCCTCTTCTCATACTACTTGTACTATAATATTGTGGGGCAGCACCAACACATACCCTCATTGTCCAACATCTGAAAAAAATTAGAGTACATCTGTGATCTGTGATGGGGAGTCAAATTACCCAACTGATGCAATAAACTTTTTTCCCCTCTTATGTTCTGCTCAGTTTTTGGAAAGTAAAGGACAAGAAGTCTTTATGGCAAAGGAGGAGGAGGAGATGGCAAAGTCAGTCACAGGGAATGACAACAGAAATGAGATTTGAATTCTTGCTATGGCCATGAAATCATAATGGTAATAAAGAGAGAAATTATAAGATATACTGTGCCAGAATTCTAGTCATAAACCCAAACTGTTTCCACGGCCAAATGTATTCAAATATTCTCAAAGTCGAAGTCTCCACATTGGCACTGAAATTCACTTTCCTCTATTTTGGATATATTATTCACACAAAAATACTGAAAGCTTTAAATTTAGGCCATGTCTAACATACTCAGAAAAGTTAAAACAAAGCAGCTACAGGAGTGACATCAATATTAAAGCACATTAATCACTCCTCCAAATATACTCATTCAAGAGCAAAGTAGTCTTGCTTCACAGTAACTTAATCTGTAATTGCTATGGAGGTTCACATCCTCAGAGAGGATTAAACTAGAGTAAACTATTTATGCATGAAAGATTCCTCATAATTGTATGGTATACAAAGGAACACTTTATAAGGATTGCCAAGTAATTTTATTTTCACAAATGGAAATGCTGGCATATACAGAAACAAGAAGTGAGAAGCTACCAATTAACAATTGTTTCTCTTAATGACCATACAGGGATGAAACTGTCCCTTCTTTAATTCCACACAATTAAACAATTTGATTCCACAGAATTAATAATGCCATTGGGCACTCTGGTGAAAAAACAAAAAAACCCCATTCTCCTTTAAACTGTTAACGAAACTCTTACAACTATTAACGAAAGAAGAGAAATGAAAGTGGAAAGAAATGGGACACAAAGAACACATGTTACATCTGCTAACTCAGCACCATAGTTTGCACGTGATTCAAGCACTGCTCTTCCTTATGAGTGATGTGAAAGTGTTGGTTAGGAGGTCTAGGTAGCTCTTACAGTGCTGTGGCTGGTGTTGCCTCACAACCCAGGGCTCACCAATTCTCCATGATCTTGCATGGCACGGAGATGAGACTGACTAGACTATAGGTCCTCCATATTTTCTGCTTTCCCCTTTCTAAAATCAGGGTTGTAGTTCCCTATTTCCAGGCTTTAGGGACTCACTCACTTCACCTCACTGACATGACTTTTCAAATATGATAGATAGTGACTTAGCTACTATCTGCCAGTTCTCTTAGAACTCACAGATGAATCTACTCAGGTTCCATGGACTTGTGTACGTTCAGGCTCCTTAGATGGTCTTGAACCTGATCCTCTCCTGCAGCGGGCTCAAGGTGTTCATTCTCTCAGTCTCTGTATTTGTCTTTTTTCACCAGGGAGGCATGGCTGGGGCACCTGCTGTTGAAGAATGAGGGCTAGAAGTTGTTGAGAACCTCAGCCTAGCTGAGAAAAGAGAACTTTGTCCAGGATAGCCAGGCCTCCTATTTCCTATTGGAGAGAGTCCAAGTTACCCCTAGTCTTTCTTTTGCTTGCAATATATCTATAGAAGCCCTTTCTATTATCCTCAATATTCATGGCCAGACTCAATTCTATCTGAGCCTTGGCTTCCCTAACCTTGTCCCTAACTTCCTGTACAATTCCCCTGTTTCCTTCTCAGGCCACCTGTCCTCATTTCCACTTCCTGAAAGATTCTTTTTTAGCTCTGGGTTTGCTCAGCATCTCCTGATCCATCCATGAGGGCCTCCTAGCATTTCTGCCTGATTTCCTTCTTGTTGGATGCATTCTTCCTGAGCTTAGAAGAGGTGATCCTTGAAATTCAGCCAGCATTCTTGGGACCCTTTGCAATCCAGGCTCTATTCCATGGGACTGTACTCAG